AAAACTTAGTCCAAATAACTTTATTATAAATTCTTTGGAGTTTATGTATAATTAATTTTTTAACATGTTTTATGAAAAATATTCAGTGAAAATTTAAAAAAACATCCAATATACGTATTAAAAAAGAAATCAGAATTGCGATTGGTTTTTGTCGCAGAACTTCTAAGATGTTACAAAACATGCATGACAATTACCAGAAAAAAAACATAAATAAAATATATTAAGAGCCCTATTTCAGAAAATTAATAAATATACTATAGTAACTGTATGACTTGGGCCATAATAGGACCAATTTTCAAGAATTTCTGTCTAACCATTTTTATTCAATATAATCGAATTCTAAACCACAACCAATATTTTCATCACTCAGCTCCTATGCACCTCTATTCTATAGAATTGCAAGATTCAACCTATATTAAGTCGAGATGTATTTAACTTTCCATCCCTATCGGAGAAATTTGGATGGTCATGTCTGTATGTGCGCATTCTTAAAGGACCATTGGTCAGACAATTATAAACCCTACAGGGACCCAAGATAAAATTCGAGCTGGCTTTGAAACCAAACGCCCCCAAATTTTGTTAAAAAGCATCGAAAGTGGACCACAAGTTAGAAGGAAAACAGTTTAAAAAAGTGTATATTATCAAGTGTGATACACTTTTATGGATAATACTGTGATTAAATGTCAAGTTAATTGTAAATTAATAGATATATTTTGTGAAAATGGCAATATACTTAAAAGCCATTTTTCATAATTGACTTTCACAAACGATTAACTCTATGTGTGTAAACTTGAGCTATCTTCTAACGTGAATTAGATATTGCTAGACTGGTTTAAATATAAATTTTGTTAAAGATTTATGGTTGTGTAAACTTGGCAAGATCTATAGCCTATTTCAAAATAAATAGCAATTAATATTTCTATACGCTACATTCTTTATACTTATTATCACGTATGCGCTTTGCATATTGAAGGCATTTTAATGTTTACTCATTCATCTGTACCGTAGTGTGCATTAATTAGCAATAAACTACACCTTGGTCAGACAAACGGATATTAGCAAATCAGCAGGTTATTGTCAGTTATCATGTCACACAACAGCAGATACTAACTGAAAGAAAGTCGCATAATTTTTTGGTAGCCGTAAACTGAAATAATAGCGCCAACCCAACAGTTTTCGAGCAAGTTTTTTTTTATTTTTAAACTTTTTAAGAGAACAGAAACGTTTATTTTCAATTTCTAAAACTTCTAGTTTCTATAAACATTATAAAAATCTTGCTCTTATGCTTCTGAAATATAACTTTACGAAGATGGTGAACATAAAATGTTTAAAAAACCTTTTTTAAAAAGTTTCTAATGCTCATGACGTCAACAGTTAGTGCACTAATGGAATTTTTGAGCATTAAATTCAATCTACACAATTTGTTAATTTTAAAAATTAGTAAAATTCTGATGCTGAAATTTAGCATCTGAAATATTTGAAACATTTCAGAGAGTTTTTCATTTTGCAAAGACACATTCCAGAAACGATAAAGAAAAAGTAAAATTTGTGCAAGAAGCTAAAAAAAATCTTCACTGCAATAAAATATTTATTTCCTTTTATAAAATATATTAAACACATTCAAAAAAATTTGATGATAATGATGTGCACATTTAATGCATTAATGGAATATATATGAACATTTAATTCAATCTACAGAGTTCAAGTAAACTTACACTCAGTAGATTGAATTGCATGTTGAATTTAGTGTAAGTGAAAATTTATTAAAATTTTAACACTGAAATGTAATATCACGAACAGCTAAAACAGTTCTGAAATAAGTTTCTTTTCCCATTATGTAAAGACACATTTCTGAAATGTAAACTTTTTAATTATTCGCAAAAAAAAGAAAGAAGGGATGTTTTAGAGGATTAAAAAAAATATTGTTACCTCTTCCAACTCTATTGCGAAGTAGCAAATAGTTCAAAGAAATATTTTCAAAACTTAAATTAATAATAATAATTTTAAAAATAAATAGAATTTGGATATTCAGGGATGATGTCAATGTTAATATCACCACTTTGTGTTTGCTAATTATTTAGTTTCTTTAAACGAACTATAGGTGTTATAAATCTCTGAAATCAATAAATAATACGAGTCAATACGGAAAATAATAATTAGCTAATCATTTTCCTCTCATACACTTTTCTTTTTACTCTGAAGTTTTTTATCAAAATTAAAAGTAGTATTTATTTTAAAGTCGCTTTTTTAAAAAAAAAATTGAAACTTTTTGCTGATTATACTTTATGATAATAGAAAAAAAGTCACATTAAAGACTATTTAAAAGAACTCATTAAAATATAACTACGGTGATGCGCAATTTTATTTAACTAGTTTTAGAAATAAATGAAGAAGTCTTGCCAAGGTTATCGAAGAACAGAAATAATAGATATCCTCGTTATATTTTTCTTATTATTGTACAACTACGAAATAGAAGTTATTGAACTCTTATTCTTTATTCTTAAAACATCTTGATGTTATAGATTCACAGAATGAGATGTCAAAGAAAGTTTATCATTGTTAACTGAATGATGATATCTTGTCGAAAGAGATTATTGAAATTTTTTGTCATTTTTAATAAAACTTCTTTTTAAACCTGACTATTGGATTTATTTAAGAAAAAATACACTAGAAAATGTCTTCCAAATGTTGTTCATAAAATTGTGTTCACTTAAATAGGAATAACACAGTAAAATTTTAAAAAATTGAAAATAAATTGCTTTTTTCTATAGTTTATCCTTTACTGTATAAAAATACTGAAATGATTTTCGAAAATTTTTTTAATGTTATAGCATAATATATAGAGCGCGACAGGCGACGCAGAACGCGCTATGTCATGCATAGCATTATCTTGTGAACTTGTGCGCTTAGTTGATTAAAGGATGTGCTCGTTCCAATTAAAACATAAAAGTAAAATATTATTATTTTAACTATTTTATTAAAATAATTTGTTTAAATTATGTAAGAAAAATAATTAACAGTACTTTCAATTGAGGGGGAGGAACCCTCTCGTATTAAGTTGAGATCAACTATGACAAAATCAAACAAACATTTATTACCAACTGAAACATAACAATAAGATAAAAACAGGAAAGTAGAAGTTAAGTGTAAGTGTGGACAGAGAGAACATCATGCCATGATGTTCGAAGCTTCTTAAATACTGAAGAAAGGTACAAGGTTGTCGATCCTGTGCACGACATCCAGCTGATTCCTTTGGCGACTACGCACCATGCCTGCCGCCACACAATAATAAATAGTTGAAATTACAACTTATTTAACTGTAATAATTTTTAATAAAAATTACAAAGGGTTATTGACAGCTTTGAAACAATTAGAAATTAATGTAGGTCCAGCTGCCAAAGAATACGCTCAAAATGAAGATAACCGCAGAATTTTGGTTGCCACTTTAAAAACATATCACATGAGATTAGATCAAGCAAAAGGGTTTGACTAGCATTTGAAACTGCTAAAAATGATAGAAAAAAAGCATCTTATTGACCTTAGATTAATGCATTATAGTTAGCAGCAAAATGTTATATCTCATATGCAATATTGATCACACAACATTAAACGCAACTCTTATATGTGAGGCATCGCATGAGATTAGATCAACAAAAAAAAGGGCTAGACTAGCACGAATATATAAGCCTGAAACAAACT